ATGAAATTGATTTATAAAAAAGAACAATTTTTCCTAAGCCAGTCAAGGGTAACTTTTGGTTTTTTTTTTTATCAAAATTATCAAAAACCCATTTTAATGTTTTTAGTGTCTTAAATACCTATCCCGAAAAGTTGCTTTTTTTCCTTTTTTAAACGTAAATGAGAATGTTCAGGGTGCTGAAGATATTTATTGACCTCTTTGTTTTCTAAACCCCCATCCTTGTCTTTTCCCCACCGTTTTTTGGTTTTGGGCCCGGAAAAAAATTTTCGCTCTAATGCTTTTAAAAACCCATCGCCCCTTTCTTGGTTTTAAATAGGTTTTAAATAGCCAAAGCGAGAAAAATTTTTTTATTGCCACTCAAAACGTATTTATAATGGTCATTTAGTTTGAGCACAGTCAAACCATATCCATCAAGTCCATATCCCATTGGCTGTCTATCACTTCTACAATCACACATGATCGAGGAAACTTTCCTTTCTGGCTCCTCTAGTCAGGGAATAAGCCTGCTGACTTTGAAAGCCATTTTCGGGATTTTTATGCCTCCAGATTTTAAATCTTCCCTCAGATTTGATATAATTGGTACATTTTCTTACACACCTGAATAGCTTGCCTGGGTTGGATGTGTCAAATACAAAGAAGACAAATATTGTTTCAAAGTTAAACATGTTTATTGAAAACAAATACAAATGCACATTCTTAACAAAATTATAACAAATGTATCCAAACACATATTACAATACAGTGGAGTGTAAAGTATGTGTTCTGGTGTCTTCTATATAACGTTCCAAAATGTCGAGTAAATGTTCTGTAGCTTCGCGATATTCTCGTTTCACTTGATAGTGTCTCAGCCATATCCAAACCATACAGACAAGTGTTAACATATTCAATGCGTCTGGTGGGTCGTAATAGCCTTATCATTGACAAACAAATTTGCTCCAGTTGTAGTTGAACTAAATCCTCCAAAGCCGCAAGGTGTTGACCTAGTTGTTGATACAAACGGCCAAATCCGCCTATTGGGGGTCGGTTTTTGTTGAGGAGCGCCTACTATTTAATATATTCGCAATGGGGTGACCACTTGTAATGTTCTCTCAAAGCGTTGTCTGATCTTATCCAGTCACTCAATTTAATGTGACATCTGAAACACTCGCACACGTCTGATTTTCCGCTATAATACAATCCAGCACTTGCTAACTGACATTTATCAGGTAACATTTGTTTCGGATAGGTTTCAAACGTCTTCAGTCTATTTTCGTAATATTCCATACTTTTGTTGAGGGGTGTGCAGTCAGTTACGTTCATTTTGTGTATGCCAAAGCTTCGTGGGGCATTTATATACACGCTGTTCGATTTCTGATTGGATGTTATTTTTAGAATGAGGTTATCGATCTAATTATAGTACTTTTGTCATTGCTATTTATAGTCACGTTATTTTACCAGTTTTGACAATCATTGGGGTTACACTCTGAACATTGTAGGGCTCCTAACTGATTCATGTGATCGCTTTGTAAATAACAGGGCACCACCGCATCCAATTCAGGTAACACTCGTCCTATCTCTGCAACAAGTTCCTTTAAACAGGAATATTCTTTGGGCCTTAAACATAAACCCTTTTTAGTTGGTACTATTTCCTGTTCTGGCTTCCAGTACTGTCCTATGTCTACACATACGCTGTTGTCGGTGATGTTACAGTAGACATTTCCTCCAACGTGGGTCCTATAGCTTTGCTTGTTTTGTAAAGCCCTGTCCGCATATTCTAACTGATCTACCAGGTTTTTCCATCGCATTAACGTTAAGCTGATGCCCTTTTTTTGTTGGTTTGTTGTCCTGCCATTCTCTAATGTCAACTCTAAGCTCGCCTTTCCATTCATTAACTTGTACATATCTCTGATTACCGATACTAAACTTAACTCTGTAGCTAGCCATGTTTATTGCTCGAGTATCAGAACTCTTATGACCAGTGTTAGTTTCGCACTGTCTTATATACAACAGAGGTCTCTCCTGATTGGTTAATCTCTTATTCATTTGATTGGCTGTCTAAAGAAACGTTTTTATTGGTAGTTATTTTTAGAATAGAACATCATTGCTAATTTTAGATATATACATCATCAAACACGTTTTATATATAGGTGACTCCTTGTTAAGGTTTATTTGTAACATTTCAAAAGACTATTGTTAACCCGACTTTAGACAAATAATCTTTGACAGTTGAATGGTGCATTGTCCGCATTTCCGTCCCTAAATAAACATACGCCAGACTAAGTGGCGACTTTAAAGGGATTTACTTTAACATTTCAATAGGCCATTGTTAGTGTTTCCGTCGCTAAATAAACTCACGCCATACATTGTGGCGACTTTAAGGGGATTAACTTTGACAGTTAAATATGCTATTGTTAATGCATCCGCTCTTAAATAAATAGACGCTCGACTATGTGACTATGATCACGTTCGATGCATTCGTGACCAAATCTAAATATAGCCAAATAAAGTCATAGCTCCGAGCATGCGCATTTAGGGAGTGTACACTTATGCAGTCATTTGGATTCGGGTCGCCGAGGAGTAAACAAGTACTATTTTTATTCAATGTACCTTATTTATTTTGACCATATTAAAACATAAGCTATTGTTATTTTTTTAATTCTAGTTTATTTGCTTTTATTAATTAAAATGTTAAGCAGGTTCTTTATTTACAAACATAAATGATAATATTTATCTCTCCGTCTAGGGCCGAGGACCTGACCTACAATGTCGCGATTCAAGCCCTAAGATCGTGTATACGAGTCAGCTCCGTATACTTCCGGGAGATATTTTTTATTTCTATTTATAACGTGATGATGTCAGTCTTAAAAATGTATCAAAAATGGCCGCTGCGCGTCTGTTATTCAACACGGCCGCCGCGTATGTATAGTGAGGTCATTTCTTCTATGCAAATGAGTAACTATTTATAGAAACAAAATGGCCGCCGCGCATGCGCAGTCTTGGGGGTAAACCGGCCCTTATACTACTTAGAAGGTAACCCATACCATATCAGGTGCGATGAGTAGTACATGTTCATTTAACTTTAAACTGCTTATTTAATGGATATATATTCCAATAGTAAAAATAATCAACTTCCACCTGATATTAGAATTGATAAATATTTTATTTTTAGTTTACTGTACATGTGCATACATTTTAAAGACAGCCTAGACGTTTTTTCATGTACAGTAGGAACATGTTAATACTTTGAAACGTAACGGTTTTTGTCTGTATACACGTAATATTTTGCTATTAGAATACTGCACTTTACATTTTATGTAGTTTTATATACACGGCTGCTGTCAATTTATGAGAAAATAAAACATCTTTTATTATTTTTATGTAAGAAGTAAGAAAGCTTAATTTTATTATAATTCGTTATATAGATCCCTGACAGGTTACATGATCACATATAAACGGTCCTCGCCTGGCGACTTGGGTTAAATATGCAAACAACCGTTTATATTGGGAAATATAACCTGTCAAAAATCTAATGATATATTGTTACATTTAAAGATGTCTGACAAGTTACATGTTTCAGTATATTCATGTATGGCTGTAAGCTTATGAAAGCGATAGTTATATTGCAAACAACCTTTTATACACCGCTATATAACACATCACACATCTTTATAACGAATTTATGATAATACGGAATTTACTTAATTTGAAACTGTAATTACTTCAAAATTTAATTGACAGCAGCCGTGTATGAAGATTATAGAAAATTCACGATAATCCAATAAAAAATTGAAGATTGACGTAACAAACGTGTTTTATCAACACTTAACTTGGTTCCTCCAGGTTGGGGCCTGCATTGATATACTTGATTTCCAGTAGGGTAAATTTAATGCAGTAACAAAAGTGAACTTTGATGCCATATAAGATCTGATTCAACTACATAACAGTACTGTTTATTATCTATATTACATTTTTATAAGCTCGAAAAAATGAAAAACTAAAAATCTGCATAACAATATTAGAGCCTATTGGCAGAAATTGAGTAACTATGGTCGCCATGGTAGAATGGTAAAATCAAAGATAATCAATTTACCTCTGGTTGTGGGTTCGAACCAAACAGGGGACTTTACATTTTTGTGGAATCAGTGAGCAAAGCAGAGATTTGTCTTGTCAGTGTAGTTCATTGATTTAATGAAGGGTAATCATATATTTTGCAACGTGTTGTTGATTGTAAATTGAGGTGTTTTCAAAGAATTATAATAAAAGAAACTGTACTAGATAAAGGAAGTACCATTAGCAACCAGAAACTGAAGCGATAGTGAAAATAACAAAGAGGTAATGTTTCTATTGCCCATCTGCAATCAACAGTCGAGTCTATAATTGTTGTAGGTGAATTCTATAAAGAAACATAAAGAAAAATAGATTGTTATTGACCTTTAGTTGTTAAATAAAAATATATGCTACTCACACCAAATACAGTGTATATTATGTTAAGACAAGAACATTATTATTAACAAAATTAATAATAAAGTGAAATATTTTCTGGACTTTTCAACCAATTTTATTTAAACTAAAGGAACAGTGTGTCTTAACTATTGTTTTAATTATTGTTTGTATAAAACTTATCTTATGGCACTTACTATTATCATGATGACCTGAAAGGTTAATAAATTCTAAATAAAGACTTTTAAATTCTGCCTCTAGCGAAGCTGTAGTGTACTTAAAAAACAGCAAATTATCTTCTGTTCTTTTTTGTGTGTGTGTTTTTTTTTTTGTTATTATTGTAAATGAGTATGTGTAATAATTTATTATCGCATGGTTTGGAGCTTTTCCTTTGTTCTTACTAACCCATTCTACTGAGTACACTTCAATGAGCATTTGAAAACTGTATTGATATATAACGGTACAGTTTTTTCATTGATTCATATAGGACAAAAACTCGACTGCTATATAACAGTACAGTTTTTTTTCTCTTTTCGCACCTTGTATATATCAACGTAGTTTTTGTATTCATTGTGCGAAGCAGAATGAATACAGAGTTATAAGTACAATCTCAAAAAAAGGTAGGCAGAGTGGATTTGCTGAACAGCATCCATCCGCTTATACGTCCGTGACATAAAGTAGTTCATGATTTGCACTTAAATCGCTTTAAGCATACGCTAAGCGATGACTTATCCGTCCCAATGTTGCAAAAAATTATGTTAAAGTTTTTTCTACCCGAAAATCATGCACTTTATTCATGTTTGACATCTAAAAACATCGATAAAAATTTCCTGTATTTCTACGCTACAAATTATTATTAACGCATGCGCAGACTCACAATAATTTATCGAAGAGAACAACACGCAAGAGAAATTGCTCAGGAAAGAATCAACAACCATCGCACATATTGTAAGTAAATATATTTGAGTTATTGTTTTTTTTTCATTGATTATCACTTTATATATATTTATTCATTACATAACTTGACGAGTATTTTACGGGAAATTTGAATAAACGGCCAAGTTCAAAAACACTTTGATTGACTCGGCCGCTCGTCATTTTGTCATTTACGTAATTTTCCCTATAATTCGAAATGAAAGTGTTAGAATGTTTCGATTTGAGACCAACTTATCCACTGATTTTGATCATTGTCATGTTTTTTTGTTGTTTACTCGTGTGTCACGTAACTTGGTCATAACATAAACACAAACACGAGGTTGACCCACTTTTGAGAATTGGCCCATTGTTGACAATAGCGTGAAAGGCGTTTGTTATTATCTATTTCATCACTTTCTTTTCGTTTAGAAAATGTGGTTAATGAGCTGCTTTTTAGAGTTTTGTATTTGGTTGTGAAATATTAACAAATTTCATTATGTAAGGTTCGCGCCATAAACATGACTCATACCGGAAGTTCCTTTGTTTGTTTACGACCGGAAGTCGCTTATGTTCAAAAATTAAATAAGAATCAAAATTACATGAAGGATTTAAAGTTAGATTGATGTGGTAAATGCTGTATAATATTTATTTCCAGGTTGACTGTAACCTTTTTGTCGTGGGTATTGTAGCGGATATTCCTTGTGACGTAAGTAAATCTATATACTGGTAACAATAATTTTTTATTATGAAAATTGCAGAGGCAGTCGGTGTGTGGTTTTGATACATAAAATGATCATGATATCTGCCACTTGCTTGATGCCTAAGTTTAAGTTCAATTTGTTTTTATCAACATGTATATTGTTGTATCTAAGCTAGGACAGTCGTCTGTGGTTTATATTAGTAGAGGTGATTCAGCCATCTTTGTTTTTTTTACTAACTGGGTCTTGCTAAAGTGAAAGTATGCCAAAATTCATACAAGTTTAGATTACCAATATCTACATCATACTGCTTTAAAATTGTTAACGATTACTTTAAGTATACATTAAAGAGCCAGCTATGAAATACAAGGGAATCCAGGAACCAGTATTTAGCTTTTATTGAATAGACCCCTTTGTTCTTTTACATGTCTGGATTTCTGAGGGAAAAGAGTCAACTCGGCCCTATACCAACTCGGCACGGGTCAACTCGGCACGGGTCAACTCGGCCCACTTTGCAAAATATAATAAGAAATATCTTATTATTATATAATTATTCACATACATTGTACTTCTTCTGAAATAAAGTATATTTAGAAAAAAATGTTATTTATCTGTCTTGCAGATTCGATAAAATTAATATAGATCTAGATTCTAATAAAATGTGTTTGTAAAGTAATATTTAAAAAAAAAATGAAACAAAAACGTGTTTACTTAATATCATGACATAAGCTTCTAATTAAATCTTCCGTATAAGCGCATTGATTGTTGCCGAAATTCATTTGCACGTGTCATACGTTTTTTTTTCTTCTATCAAATAGAAAGACCTTGTCTGTGCATTATCTAGAACGTTAAAGTAATAAAGAACAGAACAGAAGTTAAATATGTAGAAATACAGTGAGATACGCAATCGTTTATCTTTACTCGCAATTCTACTGATAAGAAAAGCTTGCCTGCTGCTAGTTCGAAACTGTCAATCCGTGCATGTATTATAAATAATTACAATAATTACAATAAATAGTGTTAACACAAACCTAAATATTAATAATTGAAAAGTGGGCCGAGTTGACCCGTGCCGAGTTGGAATAGGGCCGAGCTGACTCGGGGGCCGAGTACGTTTTAGGGCCGAGCTGACCCGGATTCTTTCTGAGTACAGCTCTAGGTAGGTTGGAAACACTAAAAGTGTCTCTAAACAATCCCAAGGGTGTAACCCTATATTAAATCCAGGATCTCGGGAGTGATAATCCTTCACTTCCTAGGGCAACTCTAAAAGAATCCAAATATAGAAGCTACTGCTGTGGTCAAAGTAGCAGAAAGTGAGAAATGTACAGAAGGGAGGTAACTCCTGTACCAGAAATTATTGATAAAATTAATATGGCAGATAATCATCGTATGCATTCGCCCTTTAAATATTTTTCTTATTTAAACAAGTAAAATGGTTTTGGATGGTTTTGAAAATGAAATCTCTAAATTGATATTTTCAGGGAAATAAAAGATTATTTACTTTAATATTCACTTGGAAAGGCTGGTACATGTAGCTAGAAAAAGTACAGTATAAGATTAAAGAAAGACTAGAAGATTATTACAAACAACAGGTACTTATATAATATTTAATGTATATTTCACAAACCAAACTGTTTTCCAAAAAAAATGAATGAAAACATGCATTTTTACCAGTGTCACCACGGGTCAGATTAACAGACCCATTCCAAGTGGCAAATAATACCAAATATGCTTTTTTTCTTTTTCCAAGTTTAGAAAAAAATCATAAGTCAAAATTCCGTTATCAAAGGTGACAATTTTTCTTCATTCCATTTCAATCCAATATGGTACCAGACAGATGATGTTCAAAAACACATTCCATTGTCAATTTTTTATGTATTTTTTATGCTTTGAATGATATACAATTTGTTGGATTAACAACTTTGTACATGGTACTAAATATTTTTCCCAATCAAGATGCAAAATTTCTTAACCCATTACTTCATGAGCATTTTGTGAAAATGGCTGTTTCCATTGAAAAGTCTCCCGTTACAAGTTCAAATTGCTATAATACTATAAAAACTGCTTCAACACTAATCAAACTTGGCACAAATGTTGACTGGACCATTGCCCTTGCAACAACATGCTCAGGCTTAAATTTTCTGTTCCCATGGCAACGAGGGGACATCTCAAAATTGCCCAAAATCACTACTTTGCCTCGATTTTTTCAGTCAAAATTGATTTCAAAGTGATGCCACTTCTCAATGGATTGAGATATAGTCAAATGCTTTTCAGCGTTGGTTACACGTTACCTTATGATCAATCTGGGGTCATTTACAGCCTCTCACAAGTCCAAAATTTTCTTGGCATCATGCTTAGAATGGTTTCACACAGGTCAGTAAGACCGGTGTACACAATGTACTGTCTGCACATATGTGTCAGAAAAAATATCACAAAAAAAGGAATTTAGTATTACTATGAGTATTTATTAAAGAAATTGTATTTCAAATATATTTAAATAGTATTATTGAAAGTCATTTTGTATGACAGACACACAAATCTAGTGCTCTGCATTATAAATGTAAGAAGAGACAAATAAGATAAGCATTTTTTTGCAAATTATTGCACTTCATATAATTTTTATTGCTTTTTTTTAAGGTGGACATGTGTCACTGTCAAGCGAATGAAGATAAGCATCACACTCGGTGGGAATCTCCAGTTTCCAGATGTAGTGATCATAACTGTATAGGCACCATTAACACTTTGGACTAGTTGGAGTATTTTAGAGGGCTAGTCTGAATTGAATCCCCTGTCAATAGTCAAGGCCAGTCATGAACATTGTGTTGAAGGAAAATGTTAAAACTCGGATTTTCCGCTTAACCAATCATTACTTTACCTTATATTCAGTGCGGTAATGTAGGAAATGGTTACTTTCTGGAACAGAGCTGTCAATTATTTTTAATTTATTAGCTTGTTAGTGTTATCGTCGGACAGTTGTGAAGTAAAAACATCATAGTTTGACTGTATACAAGTTGCCTTAAAGAAAGTATGTCGAAATCTTAACAGTTATTCGTTGATTTTGTAGAAATTGACTAGAATTCACCTTTGTTAACATGCATCGCTTGGACGTCGAAAACGACATGCAATGACATTTCAGTGAAATTTGGAAAACTTGCTCGTATTTTGGAGCATTTTGTAGGATTTCGATGAAGTAAAAAGTGTTTATGATAGGATACATTATTCCTAGAGACAACCATAAAGATAAAATAGTGATCTGGTGTATTTTACCGAACAGTTCTTGTTTGTTTTGCATGATATTTTTCTCTCGTTAGGGACCTTTATTCTTTATATATAGTATTATGAGCATATATATGGGTAAATGTGGTATATAGTGCCTGTGGTTTTAACATGTATCTTAGCTTGCCTGGTGTAATGATAAGTAATAAACCTGAGAATTGAAACTATGAGAATAAATTGTTGTTATTAGTCCCCTTCTATTTTCATTAAGAGGGGACTAAAGGCTGACCCATTTCTGTATGTCAATGAAAGCTGAAAGCTGAATTTTGCTATAACTTAAATGGTACAAAAGTAAGGTTCATCATACTGGTATCTGATATAGAACTATACAGAGATTTAGCATGTTATTATAATTTATGCTCCTATGATTCTGGATAAATATCTGTGTTCATTCCATACAGACTTGTACTTTTGGGGAAAAAGGTTGCTCATGGGAGGAAAATATGTTTTTAATGGTGTTTTTGAGATTTTAGTTGATAAAGGAAAAAAAAAACATAGTCTGTACTTAGGAAGACATTTGTCCTTCACACTCTTGTCCGAAATATGAATATAACTAGATATGTATTGAAGGGATTTTATGTAAACTTCACAAAGTGATAGAGACTTTTAAGAGGAAGTGCAATGTTCAAGAAACATAACTCTACCTTGCTTCATGTTTTAATTATATTCCTTAAGTTAAAAATGCTTATTCCAAACTATCACTGAATCTACATCAACTTGAACGACTCGAATTTTCCAATGTGTCAAAGAACCATAACTCCATTCCTTAGTTTTTAGCTCACCTGTCACAAAAAGTGACAGGTCAAGCTTTTGTGATCCCTTTTCGTCCGGCCGTAAACTTTTACTTTAAATGACATCTGCTCATAAACCACTACGCTAATTTCATCCAAACTTCACAAGAATGTTCCTTTGGCTGTCACCTTTAAAAATTGTGCAAAGAATTTAATTCCATGCAGAACTCCGGTTGCAATGGGAACCGAAAGAAAAAAACTTTTAAATATCATCTTTAAAAAAACCCTAAGAGCTAGAGCTTAGATATTTGGCTTGAAACATCCTTTAGTGAGTGTCTACCAAGTTTTTTAAATAAAAGCCCTGGGGTCAAAATTGGCCCCGCCCCAGGGGTCTTTGTTTTTCCCTATGTGCATATAGTAAAAACTTTATAAAATCTCCTTTTAAAAGAACCCAAAGAGCTAGAGCTAAGATATTAAGCATGAAACATCATCTAATGAGTGTTTACCAAGTTTGTTCAAATAAAAGGCCCGGGGTCAAAATTGGTCCTGCCCCAGGGGGTCATTAATTTTCTTTAAATGCATATAGTAAAAACTTAAAAAAATCTTCTTTTAAGAAACTAAAAGAGCTAGAGTTAAGATATTTAGCATGAAATATCTTCTAGTGAGTGTTTACAAAGATTGTTAAAATAAAAGCCCTGGGTCAAAATTGGTCCTGCCCCAGGGGGTCATTAATTTTCTTTAAATGCAAATAGTAAAAACTTAAAAATCTTCTTTTAAAGAACCCAAAGAGCTAGAGCTAAGATATTTAGCATGAACATCTTCTAATGAGTGTCTACCAAGTTTGTTCAAATAAAAGCCCCGGGGTCAAAATTGGCCCTGCCCCAGGGGGATCATTGATTTTCCCTATATGCATATAGTAAAAACTTCAAAAATCTTTTTTAAAGAACCCAAAAAGCTAGAGTTTTATTATAAAGTTGAAACATCTTCTAGTGAGTGTCTACAAAGTTTGTTCAAATAAAAGCCCTGGGGTCAAAACTGGCCCTGCTCCAGGGTTGTCATTGTTTTTTAACAGTATATGTTAGTAAAAACTTAAAAAATCTTCTTTTAAAAAAAACCCAATAAACTAGAGCTTTGATGTTTAGCATGAATCATCTTCTTATGGATGTCTTCCAAGTTTGTTCAAATAAAAGCCCTTGGGTTAAAAACTGGCCCTGCAGGGTGGGGGGTGCTTTTTATGAATGGAATCAAGAGAGATGAAGTCTAAAATGTGATACTGTCAATGTGACTAACCTTGAAGTAAACAGATGACACAATGTTTTTTCAATGTCATGGGCATATAATGAAGAGGTACATGATTATTTGTATACACTTTTCCTTAATAAATACTTTTCTAAATGTTTGACATGTTTAAAGGCCAACACAGGGCTCAAGGTTTATTTAAAATCTGTAAGCTTGGCACTTAGAGCCAATGTATATTAATTATTTCAATATCTTTATTTATCATTATGCAATCTGTTGTTAATTTAGGAACAAAAGTGGATAGCAAAAACATTTTAGCCGTGTCATGACGAAACCAACATAATGGGTATCCGCCCAGTCTGATCAGGATCCATACTGTTCGCTATCAGTTTCTCTACTTGTAATAAGGTTTGTAAGCGAACAGCATGGATCCTGATCAGACTAACCTGGTCTGGATCCATGCTGGTCGCAAACCCATTATGTTGGTTTTGTCATGACACGGCTCATTTGTGACATGTAATTCACTTAAATTGTATTTATTTTGTATATATATTTCATCTTCAAAACAATTAAAGTAATGATTATAATAGCATTGATTTCATATTTGTTTGTCTTAATAATTAGCTTTGTTTTAAATATAACAGTGTAGTTTTTTATTGTTGGTTTATCTTGTTTAAGATTTGTTTAAACCGATTACCAATCAGTCTATATAATAATTGGAAAGACAGAATATTGCTTGTTTTTAGAGTGATATGCTTAATGAATATTCAGCAATAAGTATTTACTGTATAATTACCACTCTGACCTAGGGTAAACAAGATAAGCTGTCATAAAGATGTAAATTTTGTTTAATTTAAGAATTCTATTTATGTTGCTGTTAAAATGCGTATGATACAATTTTATTCCTGTTTTCTGTATATACACACAGTTTTAAGTAATTACTGCTTTTGAAATGTCAAAAAATGCAGATACTTTTGTTAAATAAGTCAAATAATAAAAAAGAATCAGTTGATAAAAAACAAGGCCTGATGAAAACCAAAGGCCTGATGACATTTTCTTAAACCATTTCATTAATAATTTTATCGATAACATTTTTTTAAAGTGTTGTATATATATTTACTTGTTTCAGTTCTATTTAAAAAAAAAAACACTATTTTTAAAAAAAAAAAACTCTTCTAGGAAGGGATATTTAAGATTTGCAAGAATTAATGTAAGCACATATTTGGACATATACATGTATACTAATGTGAATTTATATTTTTTTTATCCAAGGTGTTAGAAATTTATCATTTTTTGTGGGACCAGACCTCTTAAATGATTGAAAAAGTTCATTTGATGCCGGTAAAATTATTGTTTACAAAGCATAATTCAAGATTGTTGTAATATGTAAGCATTATAGTGGTATTATGCCTATCCAATGTTACTTGATGAACATTCAAATATTATTTTTCATCAAATTCTTTTTCAAAGGCTAGGGTTGGATAACAATTAAGTGGGAAAAGTTTTACAATGCTTCATACTTAATAAATTTCTTGACTTTCACTCAATATATTTGTTATTATTCATCCTTAGTCATTTCATTATACAATCTTTTAATGACATATATACAGGTAATGCAACTATTATTGCAAGGGAATAAGCATAATACCTCTAACATGCATTTGTACTTTATTTTTGTATATATATTTCATCTTCAAAAACAATTAAAGTAATGATTATAATAGCATTGATTTCATATTTGTTTGTCTTAATAATTAGCTTTGTTTTGAATATAACAGTGTAGTTTTTATTGTTGGTTTATCTTGTTTAAGATTTGTTTAAACCGATTACCAATCAGTCTATATAATAATTGGAAAGACAGAATATTGCTTGTTTTAGAGTGATATGCTTTATGAATATTCAGCAATAAGTATTTACTGTATAATTACCACTCTGACCTAGGGTAAACAAGATAAGCTGTCATAAAGATGTAAATTTTGTTTTAATTTAAGAATTCTATTTATGTTGCTGTTAAAATGCGTATGATACAATTTTATTCCTGTTTTCTGTATATACACACAGTTTTAAGTAATTACTGCTTTGAAATGTCAAAAACTGCAGATACTTTTGTTAAATAAGTCAAATAATAAAAAGAATCAGTTGATAAAAACAAGGCCTGATGAAAACCAAAGGCCTGATGACATTTTCTAAAACCATTTCATTAATAATTTTATCGATAACATTTTTTTAAAGTGTTGTATATATATTTATTTGTTTCAGTTCTATAAAGTTTAGTTCTCTTGTTTTTGTTAATTAAAGTTATTTATTGAATGATTTGTTATTGTAATTTGAACCTACAAGCCAATCAGGTTTAGAAAACATTGCTGAACGACAGACTTCCAGGGTTGACTGAGGTTGATCCAGCTCGCAATTAGCTTAAAATAGTTTTCATTTACTATCAGTTCCGTCAGATCTGTAAACACAATGAATACCCCAGTACTTTCAGTACTTTGATTTTTCACAGAGGCAATAGGGCAGTGGTAACAAACATTCCCAATAGCAAAAGAAAAATGGAATCAATAAATTTAAAATAAATATATACAATGAAAAATATAAACAATGATAATTCATTAAATGAAATTTACTCTCATTTAAATCAAAAGGTACATCCGCTGAATGAATTATTTCAACTGAAAAGTCCTTTTACCTTGAATAAATATTGGTAACAGTTTACAATCCGCCTCTAACATTGGATGTCTTTTGTATATCTTTTTTTTATTTTCGGCAGCGAAAACAACTTGAAAGAAATTGCCTTATCAAAAATAATTGTAATGTAGCTAACGATTTATTTATTTATTTATTTCTATTACAAAAAAAGAGAAAAAATAATTTGCCATTGCGATAACACAGTTATAGTATACGAAACTCGTTAGGTACGAGGATATAACTCTGGCTAGGCGACATCTCAGGATGTTTCTGCAAAAGATTGTTTCGGCCTAACGGTCTTGCCATTTTTTAGCAGAAACATCCCTTGATGTCGCCCCAGCCAGTGTTATATCCTCGTCACTAACTCGTTTCATGTACTTTAACTATTACAAAAAAATAAGCGCCCCCCCCCCCCTTCCCCCCGAATAAAATCTAAAGGCTATTTCTTTGATTCCAAATCATAATTCGGGCATAATTCAATATCATATACAGTTGTTTTTATAAATAGTTTTACAACAAATT